GATATAGATTCTCTTTCACTCAATCACTCGGGCATCCTGAGACAAATTTCTTAGAGTTTTTAACCCTCGCACTGCTCTAACCACCAGCTTACATAGTGTTTGGGTTGTGATGAATCTCTATCATTCTTTCTCACTTACTCTCTCACTCTCGTCTTTCTTACATATTCTCTTCTTATCTTCTTCTTCCTTCTTTCTTAAGTCTCTACTTTCTTTTCTCGCATTCCATTTCTCTCTCTCATCTCTTATAAATCTACTTCTCTTGTACTCTATCAATCTTTTTAGCACGGATAGATCTCGCGAGGCTCTTCAGAAGTGATTTCATGATAGTTTAGAACTGCAGTCCCCATTCTCCAGCTTCGGAAGTGGTTTCTCGACAGTTTAGAACTACAGACCTCACTCTCTAGAATCCTTTAGAGTGCTCTTGACTTTGGTATCAAAGTCTAGAGACCTTTTCGACGTTCCTGGTTACCTCTTTAGCGAGGGGATGCCGGAAAGATGTCTGAGTTTTGATAGCTATTCTTTTTGTTATATTCTCACTCCTTTCTCATACGATCTCTTATTTCTCTGTTCATCTTCTTCTTAGTTACTCATTAGGGGACCTATACGGAAGTGAGCTCTCAATAGACTAGAACTAGGAACTTGACTCTCCTAAATCCCTAGGGATACCTGTAGACTCTAAGCCCAACATCTTTCTTGTCTCTAGTAAAATATCTTGGGAGAGGTGATGCCGGAAGCCTGCCTAATTTCAAGGTCAGTTTCCCCATTTCTTGTATCTACTTCTTCTTCTCTATCCATTCTCAACTCCTCTAACCTTTAGACTATACCCCCAATCTACCATAAAACTACCAATAGGAGGAGATCCCAAAAGGTAAACCCTGAAGGCCATTTTTAGTGTGTGGATCCGAGTGTTGTGTAATAAAGCAAGGGAGCTGAATTCAAGTTGCGCTTCAATGACAGTCGGAGGGATTTTGAAATGATCTAAAAGGGTGAATCGCCCGAATGCATCCCCTGAACCCAAAACGGCAAGGTAGGTGCTCGATCCATTCTTTGTCGATTAAAATCTTTCTCTTTGTTGGTTCCTATCCGCACTACATGCATATGCACACACACGTGTGTGGGCCTCATGGTTGTTCAAGAAAGGATTTCTCTGACTGGATCACCCATATTGGGCCAACCCGGGACGACGAGAAATCAGGCCCGATCACTTATCAAAATCCTTTTTTTATATATTTTCATTATTGCTTTGCAACCAACTCTTGTGTCTGGTGCCTTATGAGTAGATTTTTCAATATCAACTTTCTTTGAACGAAATCTTTCTCTTGAACATAGAAATCTACGAGAGTGCATGATCCCGTCATGTTGTGTTTTTTTTGTATTTCCCATGCGCATGCTAAATCCCATTCGCCTCCCATATTCATTATATAATAAGTATTTGCTTCTTCCTCAGATGAAAATTCCATACCCACAAATAGTTCACAACCAATATTTCCTTCATTTGCATTCAGGCTTCCCATTCTTCCATTTTCATCTTCTTCACTGCAAGGGTTTATAATACTGACCTCATTTGAACCATCATTATTGCTCCTTTTTACATATAATTCCATTGGTGCATGAGGACTTTTTATAGGTGCATGTTGTCATTCAAATGATTAGTCGGATTTCAATACGTTCTGAAGCACTCATTACCTGGATAGCACTATCAATTTCTTCCGCATTGGCACCATACCGTAAGGGATGATCCTCAATGGTTGCCTCCATGGTTAGGAGGAAATCTTAAAGCATTTTTGGTCTCTCCTTCTGGATCAACAGTATGGAATTAGAATGACACAATGAAGTGTAACAGAAATATTTAAATTTTAGAGACAATTGGAAAACTCGATCAATTCAACTAGAAAAACATGTATAGTTCAAAAGACGCATCATGTATCATACTCTATACCACCACAACAATCAACATCAGTAAACTAAATATGCTGTACCAAAACGAATTCTTGAAAGATCAGTACATATCGTTTTTCTTTTGTTGGTAAGATCGATGTACATCTTGGAGAAATCAAAACAAAAAATAACTAATAAATAACCAGTTTGTTACATTATTGATTATTGTCTTTTTGGGTGGTGGTCATATCACAATTTATTTGAGAAATTGCAAAATATTGCAACTCCAACGTAAATGCTCGAGCTTTTTACAAGAGATATGTAAATGAAGAAGAAATAAGATGGAAAATAAAGTCCAGAAGATCTTTGAAGGAAAGTGTCATATTCCAAAATTAAATGTAAAATAAATTGAAGAGTCAAATTCAGAGGTGAGGTAAAAAAATAGCTGCACATATTCAGATATATGAATGCCTATAGTCCTGTGATATGGTCATTTCCCAATAAGTGGCATCTTCGAGAGCGAAAGTACTTGTTAGAGAAAGCTACTTCAAATTTAGGGTTCTTGAACACGAAATTAAGGCTTAGGACCTTGCCATTTATGTGAACCAAGAATTAAGTTTTGGCCACCATCTCGATTCATTTCAACACAATAACCGTAGCCTGTAATTTTAGGAAACAAGGTATTAACACCTCACTAAAAATTGCAAGAAAGCACATACAAAAACCACCATTAGAATGTAGGGAAACAACAATAAATAGCGGCCCAATTGCCCATTCGTTCCATGAATCGATAGAAAATTTTTTTGGCATCAATGCATTAGGAAGCATAAAGTAATATATACATTACCTGCTTCTTGTTAAATGCATCACAAAGCACAAGCATCACAAAACACAAGCACAATACCGAGTGATTTGGGAGATAAGAGAAAAGGAAATGGAGAGATTAGTAAAGTTAGTGGGAGTTAGAGAGAGAAAATACCTATCAGAGAAACTACTTCCCTTTTGCTTCCTGGTTAGGGGAAATGGAGAGAGAGGCATGGGATATAGAAGCTGCCGTTTTGTGTTTTGGTCAGGAGAAATGGAGAGAGAGAGAGAGAGAGATATATATATATATATATATATATATATATATATATATATTAGTAAGTAAGTAATAGAGAGAGGAGGACGAGGTAGAGAGAGTAGTACGACGAGACTACGTGTGTAGTAAGAAGTACTACCTACCTAATTAA